CAAATGCAATAACTCATATAAAATGCAAACACTGCAATTCGGAAAAACTATCCTGGATTCAACTATTAAAATGGTCTCGAGCGCAAAGGATTAAAACACTACGTTTATTATATCGTTACAGCTAGACCGTGGATTTTATGCATTTCTGTGAAACGGTAAATGCAGGGAATAAATTTAACGATACTGTTACATTATTCCCGACTTAATAAAAATGGGAATGATGAAAACAGACGATTGTATAACCTCTATTTGTTGCAGTCGAACTAGAGCAAAGTGGTTGTAGCAATTGGTTTTGCCTTCGTTCATACGAGTTCGAAGTCAAAGCTATTAAGCTGCGAACAAACGTTATCTTTTTCTTAACACTCTGTTAAGCAGCATTTCGAGGGAGTTACCCTACTCGCCTCTGCTAAAGAGCTGCGTCTGCGCGGCTTATGTCGGTGTATCTGGTTGACAAGAGATAATGTTAATGGAGGGATTCGTCTGCTATTTTATCAAACGCGCGCCGAAGAGGCTTCGTCGAGACTCCGACGATAAGGGCACGAAACTTCTTGAGCATTTACAAAGAACTCTCTTGAATGCCACAGAGCTCTAATCGAGTAATGTCTATCTTAACTCTTCGACTAGTCTCTTAAAGTATCCTTTGCAGCAATGGTGCCCAGTCCGAAAGGGGCTGTGACTTCGTCAATAAGGTACCGTTGTTAATTACTGATTACACGCACTAGATATAACGAGCGTTCGATGCAGCATTCAGTCGCGTCCTTGTTACCAATTTGTTCAACACTGGTGCAAATGCGGTGTCATTAAATTAGAGTTGAATGTGGTTAGCTTGAACCTTGTCTCCGTGTCTCCATATGATTTTATTTATTTATAAATATACGTGTTACAATGCGTCGTTAAATAATAATCCTTTTCTGTGGCTTTGCTTCATTGTTTCAATTATTATTTGAACTGTTGAATGCTTTATTGTAATCATTATTTTTTCTTTCATATTTGTATTCTACATTTTTATATTATATTTGATATTATACTTTGATTGCTAGATCAATGTGAATATTTATGCTGTTGCATTTATGCATTTATCGAAAGAATATATAAAAATTGTAAACATTTCTCTGTCGTTAGATAATCCCAAACAAGACCGTCGTATTTTGTGAACCTCGCATGTAAAAATCGCGAATGTAAAGGTATACAGGGTGTTCCACAATTATTTTAACAGCCGAAAATGAGGGGTAGCTGAGGTCATTTGAAGTAACTTTTTCCTTTGCGAAAATGCAATCTGCGGCTTTGTTTACGAGTTATTAACGGAAAACACGGACCAATGAGAGGTGACGGCGCGAAGTTCGAGAGCCCGCAGAACGAGGCTTCGACAGATGGACGGATTCGAGCCGCGTTCGAAGTATTGAACAAATCACGAAGCGAGAACTTTCTGGATTTTTTTTACTACGTAACAGTGATATTTTTAAGAAAAACGCTGTTCACCTTTACCTTAGAACGTCTGAAGAATATTTTCTAATTTTTCGGACCCGAAATAGTAAGTAATTTAACCGTGACGGCCGTCTTAATTTTCTAGTGTGCATGACACCTTGTGTGTAACATATGAAATTTTTAAGCAAGGTGTACAGTGAAGGTGTACAGTGACCTTGACATAACCTTGACATAT